ACACACACACACACACACACACACACACACACACACACACACATACACAAACAAATACAAACACACATGGTATTTTTAAATATACATTTTCCCCATTGAGGCTCACCAAAGATAACTCTGTCCATATGCTCGAGTACCCGTGAACCTGTGATGGGCACGCCATTCACCCGGATCTTGGCCCCGTCTGAGCCTGGCTTCACGCTAACTTCGCCGCCCTCGTTTGTGAACACAGCGTGTTTCTTCTGTATGCTGAAGAGATAGCATTGTTGTATAATATTTTAAATGAGTTTAATGATAACCTATTTGATGAATTTGGCTGCTTCAAAGTGGATAGAGTAAAGGAGAAGGCATGGCAGAAGGCAGGTATGAATGACAACAGTAAATATATTTATTTAACTGAGCATCAAAAAAAAAATAATTTGTATGCAAGTTTATAACGTATTACACATTTAATGATGCGTGCTTATTCTGGTGTTCAATTTCTGGAGGGATTACATCTTCTAGGGTGACATATGGAGAGTGGGGTAGGGTGGGTTAGGGGATACGAACAGGAGATGATTTTCAGGAGCACACATTTAGCTAATTGTTAAGGTTGACAAATGAAATTGATAACTGTGAGTTTCAAGAAGACGGCCATCAAGACATGGAGAGTATGAAACAAAACAAGATATTAAACAAGCATCCATATCGAATCTGTGTCTAACAAGGACTTTCAATCTACCTGAGTCCATTAAGAACCACATCAGGATTCCCGTCCTTTCGGCCAATGACAGTCGTCTGCTCTGACAGGAAGTGGAAGACGACCCCCGAGAGCATGGGGTCCTCGTTGAGGTTCATCAGGTGCGGGTCTACGTTCTTCTTGGACATCTCGCGAGACTCCTCTTTGGCAAACGCCTCCGTCTCGTGTCGAGCAGCCGACAACTGGGAGATGGCATCAGGGACGGTTTAGACAGTGTGACATTAGGAATCAGATAAACTCAAATATTGAAAGACTGTTTGAAAAATCAAACAATTCACGATTAACACTTTAAACGACCCCAGAACCTCCCCAAAAAGAATAAAGAGGCGGCATTTTAACATCGATACAATAACAATGACTGATGACATATAATCTAAATTGTGTCAATGGAAACATAAAGGCTATCACAATCTTTGCCTTTCTCACCCTCCACCTGGGAATAGGCCACGGACAAACACTTTCCACTTTTCCCTATCCTTGGCTAGCCTCTTGATGTTATTCCATGTCTTCCCACTTTTCTGTACTTCAGTTTCTGACATTAATGTTATACAATCAATACACTCTTGACATCATTGTCACGCCTACTGTGGAAAACGTGGAAACAAAAATTCGGCCTACTCAGTGAGAAATGAGTGAGCTGGCAATTTAGTGTGCACCGTAGAACTTGCTCTAACTCTGAAAGTCTCCTGTCCAAGACAATTACCAATAAGATTGTCCACTTCCCACTTTGCCCATTTAATTTGCCTATATTTTAAAGACACTTGCTAAGACGTATCCATCTATCTACGACTGTCTAAGACACATCCATCTATCTACGACTGTCTAAGACACATCCATCTATCTACGACTGTCTAAGACACATCCATCTATCTACGACTGTCTAAGACACATCCATCTATCTACGACTGTCTAAGACACATCCATCTATCTACGACTGTCTAAGACACATCCATCTATCTACGACTGTCTAAGACACATCCATCTATCTACGACTGTCTAAGACACATCCATCTATCTACGACTGTTGAAGACATATCCATCTATCTACGACAAGCACTTTTCTTCTCGACAATGGGTGGCTGTCTTGGACAATTTCGACCGTACCTTTTCGTCCCAAGTCTGCTCGCTGTCACTCAGCATCTGTTGGTTGGTCACCAGCTGGGCACGGATCTCCTCCTCCATCTGACGACGCATCTTATCCACCTCTGGAAGGAAAATAAACACGACATTCTAGTTATAATAACTTATGATACAGGATGCATGTCGAGTAGCTGGATTAACATCTTGCTTATGAACTGCAGATGCAAAGGCTTTCATTTTTCACAGGAAAGTTGCACTGTTTTACTCTTTTCATATCCTTCACAAAAAGATCTGAGGACACTTTCGTTCAATGGATATCCTGTTGGATTGAGATGACAGGTTAATAGTTCAGATTCTAAGCTTTGAATATGCAAACTGTACAATACATATTTGTATATCATTGAGCGTTCCAAACTGAAAAGCAGTGCTAGGTATGGCCAAGGAAAGGTGTTTCTTTTCCTTTTTTTTCTTCGAATAAATCAAAATGTTTTGAATGCATGTCAAAGCCAGCGAGAGACAAAAGGAAAGACCAGCCTTTTCGGAAAGGTGATTAGTAATTGAAAATTGATCCCTAAATGTTAATTATTACAGGAACAGTACTTTTGGTACACATACAAATGTCTTTGCTGCTTGTCCTAATCATCAAGCAGGTAGGCATGATATGTTCGGCAACTTGTAAAACTAAAGAGATTGCAAGACAAAGGTTAAGCAGACAGGGTCAAAGTTGAAAAGGTTTGAAGACAGTGGTGGGTCAGGAGATGACAGGCTTGTGGGAAACTGAACACCAAAAATCTGGACCAGACAACAGTTGAGTCAAGGAGTTGAACTAAAGAGAAAATGAAGAAGTAGTTAACGATGACCTTGATGGTGACCCTGAACTCAGAGAGCAGTGCAGGGTAGATGACATGAACTGACCTTCTGGGCTCAACTGACCCATCCCGTCCATGGGGATAGTTCCTCCGGCCTCCAGTGCCTTTCTGAGCTTGTCGTTCTCCTCCTGTGGACACAGAACGGACCCCACATTGTAGCTTTTTAAAATTGTAAGTCTTCAACGCACCTTCGACATAATTTAGATCATGTAAAAGGCGGACTGCTTTTGTCCTGTCTATCAGGGCCAATCTGGGCTGACAGGGATGCATCGTCCAATCAAAGAGATTGAGAAAACGTCCTCAACAAAAATGCGAGTAATTTTCCCTCAGCACGGAATACGAACTCCTGTAATCTGCGTGCGACAGGGAAGCGTCTAGCCGGTACGCCAGAAAGGTCGTATCTCTCCCTCAAGTGAAATTCACAGGACAAAAAACATAGTTAACACATAAAGAATTATGGAAAATAGTCGAATCCTATTCTGCTCGGCAGGTTGAAATCTAGGTAAAGGTAAATGCAAGTCTCGACCCGCTCCCCCCCCAACCCCGATTCTTGAATAAATTAAAAAAGCTTCTCTCCAGAATGACGTCACAGCGACCAACATGAAGCCCCTTAGAGAGTGGAGACCCTGGTTGTGTACCAAGTCAAGTTATTTATTTATTTAACCCTTCCAGCCCCAGCCATTTTTGTGCACTCCCTAACCCCAGTCCCAGCCAATACAGTAGTATTTCAGAAAAAGAGGCATTATTTCTATAAAGTGATGTAGTATCTTTGGAATGTAGCTTTGATAATAACATATACCAATTTTTAAAGATAAATGACCAAGTAATAAGAAAATTAAAGTTTAATCAAGTTCGCTAATTTCGAAAAATGCGAGAATTCGGTACCCCCCGAAACTGAGAATATACGCTCTTGGGACGGAGGGAGGTACAAGCGCTGCTGAAAATATACGCGCTTGGGGCTGGAAGGGTTAAATATTTTAACACCATATAAATAGATAACGCTTCCCTTTAGTATTCCTGACCTTGAGTTCTCTAATCATCTTGTCCATGGGGTTCTCGTTGATGACTGCCTGATTCTTGATCTTCTTTGCACGGTCAGCATACCGCAGAGTGGACAGTGTCTCGTCATAATTGATGTCAGCGGGCGACAGAGCGGCGATCATCAACGTTTTGCTGCAGAGGTGGGAGGAGAAGGGAAACGATGGTGCAAGTTAGAAGGGGAACTTTTTAGGTGATCATACCTATTGGGGTCTAAAAATTCTTGCTGAGAAATGAATAGAATAATACCTAGGACAGAGTGTGCGAGCAGGCGCGTATGCGAGAGTGAGTGTGTGAGCAAGTGAGTGAGTGAGAGACAAACAGATAAACACACACACACACACAGACTAAGACAGAGAGAGAGAGAGAGAGAGAGAGAGAGAGAGAGAGAGAGAGAGAGAGAGAGAGAGAAAGAGAGAGAGAGAGAGAGGGAGGGGGGAGGGAGAGAGAGAAAGAGAGAGAGAAGGGGATAGGGATGGAGAGAGAGAGAGAGAGAGAGAGAGAGAGAGAGAGAGAGAGAGAGAGAGAGAGAGAGAGAGAGAGGGAGAGAAGGGGATAGGGAGGGAGGGAGGGAGGGAGGGAGGGAGGGAGGGAGAGAGACAGAGAGACAGAGAGACAGAGAGACAGAGACAGAGAGACAGAGGAAGGGGGGAGGGGTGAATCTACGACAGATCAGCCAAGCGATTTAATCAATGTGAAAATGAACAGTGTATTGTAGTCAATTCTAGACACATGTACGAACACTGACGTTGGCGGCAGGAATCCAGCCAGAAATGATTATATTGACCATAGAAAGAGGCACAGATCATCTTGATCTGAGTTCTTCTATTTCTTATTGAGGGATATTCTCCTCTGCAGATGCACTGGTCATCTTTATGGACGAAATATTGTTTTTACTAATATTATGATTAAAACGAGCCAAACCTTTGGACAGACGCATTTTCTTCAAGCTTAAAAAAACAACAAAAAAACAACAAAAAAACAACAAAAAAAAAACAACAACAACAACAACCAAAAGCAACCCCCCCCCCCCCCAAGATAACAACATCATAAGAGAAAAGCATAACAACAGGAACCAAACTTGAAAAAAAAACGTTCACATGTACAGACCTGTTCCCACCCAAAGCGTTTTGCAGCAGCTTTGTGAGTACAGAGTCGCGGTACTTGACCATAGTCTTTTTGCCCATCGACTGTTCGGCGAGCGCCTGTCACAAAAATAAGGTGAAACGAGGCTGTTATTTCTCTGACTGAACATAAACCAAATATATAAGAACTTTCCAACAATAGCAGCAGCAGCAGCAGCAGCAACAACAACAGCAGCAGCAGCATCAGCAATAACAATAACATCAACAACAACTACAACAACAACAGCAACGACAGCAACAGCAGCAACAACAACATAACCTGCTGCCAGTCCACTTGATGGTTTGCCGTGATATTTCTGTTCTACTTGGCGGTATAATGCATGACCAATCTGACAACTGTTCTACTTGACGGTCTACTGGTGTGCTACACTCCATGGCCTTACCCTAACCTTATCCCAAACCCTCAGGGTTAGGGTTAGGTAGTAGGCTGGTAGACTGCAAGGTGGAATAACAGTCAGACTGGTCCACTGGCACCACCACCTGACCGTAATAAGAAAATTAAAGTTTAATCAAGTTCGCTAATTTCGAAAAATGCGAGAATTCGGTACCCCCCGAAACTGAGAATATACGCTCTTGGGACGGAGGGAGGTACAAGCGCTGCTGAAAATATACGCGCTTGGGGCTGGAAGGGTTAAATATTTTAACACCATATAAATAGATAACGCTTCCCTTTAGTATTCCTGACCTTGAGTTCTCTAATCATCTTGTCCATGGGGTTCTCGTTGATGACTGCCTGATTCTTGATCTTCTTTGCACGGTCAGCATACCGCAGAGTGGACAGTGTCTCGTCATAATTGATGTCAGCGGGCGACAGAGCGGCGATCATCAACGTTTTGCTGCAGAGGTGGGAGGAGAAGGGAAACGATGGTGCAAGTTAGAAGGGGAACTTTTTAGGTGATCATACCTATTGGGGTCTAAAAATTCTTGCTGAGAAATGAATAGAATAATACCTAGGACAGAGTGTGCGAGCAGGCGCGTATGCGAGAGTGAGTGTGTGAGCAAGTGAGTGAGTGAGAGACAAACAGATAAACACACACACACACACAGACTAAGACAGAGAGAGAGAGAGAGAGAGAGAGAGAGAGAGAGAGAGAGAGAGAGAGAGAGAGAGAAAGAGAGAGAGAGAGAGAGGGAGGGGGGAGGGAGAGAGAGAAAGAGAGAGAGAAGGGGATAGGGATGGAGAGAGAGAGAGAGAGAGAGAGAGAGAGAGAGAGAGAGAGAGAGAGAGAGAGAGAGAGAGAGAGGGAGAGAAGGGGATAGGGAGGGAGGGAGGGAGGGAGGGAGGGAGGGAGGGAGAGAGACAGAGAGACAGAGAGACAGAGAGACAGAGACAGAGAGACAGAGGAAGGGGGGAGGGGTGAATCTACGACAGATCAGCCAAGCGATTTAATCAATGTGAAAATGAACAGTGTATTGTAGTCAATTCTAGACACATGTACGAACACTGACGTTGGCGGCAGGAATCCAGCCAGAAATGATTATATTGACCATAGAAAGAGGCACAGATCATCTTGATCTGAGTTCTTCTATTTCTTATTGAGGGATATTCTCCTCTGCAGATGCACTGGTCATCTTTATGGACGAAATATTGTTTTTACTAATATTATGATTAAAACGAGCCAAACCTTTGGACAGACGCATTTTCTTCAAGCTTAAAAAAACAACAAAAAAACAACAAAAAAACAACAAAAAAAAAACAACAACAACAACAACCAAAAGCAACCCCCCCCCCCCCCCAAGATAACAACATCATAAGAGAAAAGCATAACAACAGGAACCAAACTTGAAAAAAAAACGTTCACATGTACAGACCTGTTCCCACCCAAAGCGTTTTGCAGCAGCTTTGTGAGTACAGAGTCGCGGTACTTGACCATAGTCTTTTTGCCCATCGACTGTTCGGCGAGCGCCTGTCACAAAAATAAGGTGAAACGAGGCTGTTATTTCTCTGACTGAACATAACCCAAATATATAAGAACTTTCCAACAATAGCAGCAGCAGCAGCAGCAGCAACAACAACAGCAGCAGCAGCATCAGCAATAACAATAACATCAACAACAACTACAACAACAACAGCAACGACAGCAACAGCAGCAACAACAACATAACCTGCTGCCAGTCCACTTGATGGTTTGCCGTGATATTTCTGTTCTACTTGGCGGTATAATGCATGACCAATCTGACAACTGTTCTACTTGACGGTCTACTGGTGTGCTACACTCCATGGCCTTACCCTAACCTTATCCCAAACCCTCAGGGTTAGGGTTAGGTAGTAGGCTGGTAGACTGCAAGGTGGAATAACAGTCAGACTGGTCCACTGGCACCACCACCTGACCCCCCCCCCCCCCACAACAACAACAAACACAAATGATAGCCTGACCTGAACCGATGTTCCCAATGTAACTTGATAGGATTAATAAGTGCATATCGCTTCTACCCAACCACGAGTCAAGCTACTCAAATGGTCACCCCCTCACCAACCATGAGTCCACCTACCGAAATGACCACCTCTCACCAACCACGAGTCCACCTACCAACATGACCACCCCTCACCAACCACGAGTCCACCTGTGGAAAGACCACTTTTATCCAATCTCGAGTCCACTTACCGAAATGACGTTCCCTAAAGCAGACAGAGATCGATTGATGTTGGCTCCCTCCTTCAGCCTGTCCCCAGTTGCCCCCGTAGAGTCTGCCCTCTCTGAGCCCGCCAAGTCCACAAGGTTCATGATACTCGTCTTCTTCGTCTCTTGCCCTGCGTTGTTGCGGATGATCTGGTCAAACACGATAGTGACCAGGGTGTGGGCGCGACTGCTCGTCGCGTTCATGTTGGTAGAGGCGACTGTACGGTTTGACGTGCCTGTAGAAGGATGAAGGAAGTTTGTAGGAGTGAATTGGTTTGGGTGGGGGGGGGGGGGTATTATTATCGTTACTGTTCCGTCATGACCCATGCGGTCATTTATTAGTATGGTGAGTCATCTCATTCTCCTCCTCTTGCTCCTTCTTCTCATCTTCCTCAACGGCACCACTACCAAGATATCTCTTTTTTAAATCGCCGTATGCAAAGTTATGGTCAATGTCATAGTTTTCTTCTTCTTCTTCTTCTTCTTCTTCTTCTTCTTCTTCTTCTTCTTCTTCTTTTTCTTCTTCTTCTTCTCGTTCTTCTTTTTCTTCTTCTTCTTCTTCTTTTCCTTCTCCTTCTTCTTCTTTTTCTTCTTCTCCTCCTCCTCCTCCTCCTCCTCCTCCTCCCCCTCCTCATCATCATCATCATCATCGTCATCATCATCTGTTTACTTAGAAATAATATTGAAAGCAACAACAATAATAAACCCAAATGAAAACAATAATTAAAATAGTGGCTTACCTTGGTCCATTCGCTTTACTATTTCTGCGTAGCTGCCAACGGGGACTTTCTTCAAGTCTTGTACGTAAAACATTCCCAAGGAAGGATTCTGGCGCACCTGCAAACCGCCCTTGGGGTTGTCTTTTGATAATAGATCACGCACCTGTTCATTGTAGATCTCCAGAATGGACAAGGTCACCTCAAAGCGCTGAGGAGGAGCATACCAATAATGTATTACTTTTACTGTTAACATCTTTTCCTTTTTCCTTTCTTCCTCTACCTCTTTCCATTCCCCCCCCCCCCCACACTCCTTCCCTGTCTCTCTCTTGGCGTACTCATATACGCCCTTCTCCCCCCAATCCTCACTATCTATTTCTCTCTCCCTCTCTCTCTCTCTCTCTCTTTCTCTCTCTCTCTCTCTCTCCGCCACAAAACGAACGGACGAAGCAAGGCGGCTGGGTGGCACGCAGGTATGAATGCCCCCACGCTCGCATGCACGCGCGCGCGCAAGAAAGAGCTCTCTCTTTTGTGTTTTCCCCCCCCCCCCCCCCCAACACACACACACACACAAACAAACAAACAAGCACACACACAGAAACACACACAGAGGTGGAAAAAAAGGGGGGGGGGGGGGTCGGAAGAGGGAAAGTAATTCCATTTCAATCGTACGGTTGACCACAACAGACGTCCGTCAATCAACAGCGGGCTTTCATTAGGCGAATCATTGCGTGCACAGAAATAATGTTGACCCCTCCTCACTACTACAAGTCACATTCATATCAACTCTCTCCCTCGTTCCTCTAATCCTGTCAGCCCCCCCCCCCACCCCCATCAAAGATTCTGTAGTAAAGAATCTTTGCCCCTACTGGCTGCTGTGGAACAATAATATGACATGCGTTGTCTATAACGAATCAATGAAGGATTTGGGGATGGACAAAAGTGTGAGGGATCATGGGGTGGGATCGGGTGGGGTGAGGGGGTTGGTCAAGAATTCATTAGAAATTTCGCGAATCCAGTGGCTGGGAGTCGTCGGCACCTCTACATCTGCAAACCGCTTTTGAGCAGTCTATATTCCACGTGTCGGCGGTCTTTCGTCGGCATGGATCAGACCTTTTACCGGGCTCTCGTGGTCTAGGGGTTAAGGTGTTTACCTCTCATTCAATAGGACCCGGGTTCGAAACCTTTCATCTCCTTTCCTACTCTCTAATCATGTACTGTTGTCTGCTTTCGTCTCCACTTTCTGTCCCCACCCTCTCCCTCTTTTGCTCCCTCCTCTGGGCTCCTGACTCTTTTGCTGTCTAGTTTCTAATGCTACTCCTTGTCTCCTTCTTACTGCTGTCTCTCAGCCACACACCTGATCTTAGTGTGGGTAAGATCTAATACCTAACCTTGTCGGAAAAGGACGAAAAATCTCGGAGGTCCTGTGTGCAAGTTGTGCACGATAAAGATCCTTTGGTGGTCCTAAATCGATAAGAGTAGGCTCCAGTGGCTATACAAGCAAAATTCCAAATTAATTCAAACCAAACAGAAAATGTATAGTGTGCCACGAGCGCTCATATGATTTTATGCAGTTATGAGCGCCGTAAAACGCTTACAACCCCCCCCCCCTTTTCAGCGGCTACACTCTGGAATGAAGAACATTCTCCTAGGACCTTAGAATAAAGGTTAACCTTTATAAGAGAGAATCAGAGGTCAAACCTATTTGACATTTAACCCGCACACGCTGCCCTCAAATGACCAACATACCGCCTTCGACCGGCTTCCTTTTCTCTGATGTAGTTTTGTTTTCAATTTCAACAGTAATGCTGAAAACAAAATTTGAAAAAGGAGTGAAAGCGATCGATCATCGTTCAAAATAAGCACACCGCCCGAATCTCACAACTTCAGTCTTTCAATTATGATATCCAACACTCACTAAGCTAGGGTATAAAAACTGTGGGAGTACTGGCATCAAATCATTAGAATGAGAGTATCGCCAGCAAGAAATTCGCATTTCCGAGGATTCTAGATCAAAGGATTGAGAACTATAGGCTCGTTGCTAGAGAGTACGCACCCTTCCCCTCCCCTTATCATGGTCTGAATCAAAGAATAATCATACTAATATTCAACTTTGAAAAAAAAAACACCGGAAGCTTCCAGAGTTGATCAAAGACCAGCTCGAACGTGGGCAATTGGTGGGAAAAACCCGCGAGATGAATGGGAGCAAAATGTCTGATAGGGCTCGCTTTCTTTTCTCTCCATCAGTTTATATCAATGCCTATTGTATAAGTGTTTATACAGAAGGGCATTGGTTTAAACCATGCGCACGCTGCCAATCGCAAATTCGAAGTCGAATTGAGTTGGGGCCGAAAAGATTTTTCTCAATGGAGGGACAAAAGCTTCCCTTTTGGAACAATACACTCGATTGAAGTGGCAACCTTGAAAAACAAATGCTTTTGATTTTGAAAGTCACAATTGAATCAATTAGGTTTCAGTCGAATTGTGCCATTACATCGTATCTGGAATGTTAGCTTTTGCTCCTTCATAGAGATAAATCTTGCTGGCCCAAAATCAAATTAAATGAATTCGATTGGCAGTGTGCTTTTGATATTAAACATGACAACGCTTACGACACCTCAAAAGTTATATCATTCTTGTGCATGCCACTGTGCCAGGATTCCCCCAAATTTGGAAAAATGAAATATCTTTAAGTCATCTCTTTTCTTTTTTCTTTCCGTTATAGACACTCTTGCACCTCAAAAATGTGTCAATAATAATAATATAGTACAACATACAAAGATAATGATACCAAATCAAACGAAATGCCCTAAGAAGTCCGTACCTTGTTGTCATCTTTGTTACCGTCAATCGCCTTGAATAACTCATCGCATGTGGTTGGCACGATACCTCTGGGAGGACGGAAAAAGGGGGGAACGGTTGGGGG